ATCTGCGTGCCACCACTGTCCTCACCACTGGGGACGTACCCTCTGAGGGTGATTTCATGAGCACGACGTAGCACAGGGAAGGAGGAAACCTGCCGAGAGATAAAGTGCCATGCACCGTCACCCCAAGAGCATCAGAGCAGAAGCAATGGGGAGGCTGGAGATGTGACAGAGCACCCCAGTGCCAGAAGCCTGGTGAGGGCTGATTTTTGGAGCTTTTTCAAAGGCAGGCTGAAGGGTGCAACATGAGCCTGGGGAAGCTGCCAGTACTGAGCTGGGTGTCAGGCTCCCACGGCAAGCGGCGGCTGAAGTCGGAGCTGACGCCGGACATGATCAGCCCGCCGCTGGGCGACTTCCGGCACACCATGCACGTGGGGCGCGGCGGCGACGTCTTCGGGGACACCTCCTTCCTCAGCAACCACGGCGGGGCCGACGCCGCCAAGCCCAACAGCTTCCTGGCGCGGACGCTGCGGCATGTGCGCCGCAGCCCGCTGAAGAGACGGGGCAGCGGGGGCCAGGTGGGCGCCTCGCCCGCGCCCCCCGCCATCTCGCCCATCATCAAGAACGCCGTGTCGCTGCCGCAGCTCAACGAGGCCATGTATGATGGAGACAGCACCAGCAGGGGTTTGACCAGCAAGTTCTCCTTCAAAAGTGCCTCCAACAGCTTCTCCAAAACACACCAGGCCTACGGTGAGTGCAGCGCGAGGCCCAGGCTGGTGCCCGGGTACTGAGCACCCTCTGCAGCCCTTCTCCATTGCTCCATGCCTCAGTTCCCTCCACAATGAGGAACTTGGGGTTTTAAGGAGAAATGGGATATTTGAGACCGCCCGGTCTTGACATTCCCTCCAAGCAGATAATCCTAACCTTCCTCCTGCCCTTGGAAGGTCTCCTTCCAGGGTGTCCCTCAAAGCAGGGCAGGGATGGTTTCTCTGTTTCTGCCCCTCTCCTGTAGCGCCACACAGCTGGCAGCCTGTGTGCAGTACCTGTAAGGGAGTACCCCCCATCTGCCTTTTCACTTGAGCAGCCTTCCTGAGGAAGCCAAAAAGGTGCTGGGACAGTGCAGCAATTCCCACTCCAAAGCAGTGAGGTCAAGGGGACCCACAGCATGGCCTTCCCCACCTCCACACAGATGCTCCAACCCTGTCCCTAGCTGTGCCAGCCTCTACATCTCCATGTGCTGCTCCTTAGGGATTCCATCCACCCTTCTCCACCGTGTCCACATCCCTCCCTGCCAGCCAGGGTGCCCTTTGAGGAAGGGTTGTGGGAAGGACGGGACAGGACATCTGTATGGCTCCTCTCCAGCCTCACTGCACTGGGCTGTGCTCAGCTTTTCCCCAGGGAAGGAGGTCTGGAGCAGAAGGTCTCAGGGTGGGGGTTGGATCAGGGGTGCCTTCAGCAGCCGGGGGAGGAGGCCGGGCTCAGAGGAAAAGGCAGGCTGAGGCAATGCTGCCATCTCCTGGTCTCACCTGCCTGGCTCGGCCCCACTGCCAGCTTACCGAGCCCAGAGCCCACCTGGAGACCCTCTGCTGTAACTCTGGGCTTTGGAGATGTCCACAGAGACACTGACCTGTCTTTTAGAGGCCAGTGCCACTGACAGGAGCATGGCCTGAGCCACTTTGTCAGCAGTATCCCTTTTCCCCTGCAGAACTAAGTCAGGCTTGCTCCCTCACCAGCCATACCTTCTGCCTCACAGGTCTGGAGTCCGGATTTTGTACCATCCCTCGTGTCCCTCGTTTGGAGAAGGCCCAAGAGAGCACCTGTCCCGGGGAGGATGAGCTGGATCGCTCCGACTCCCTGCTGTCCTTCCGCCTTGACCTGGGGCCCTCCCTGATGAGCGAGCTCCTCCAGGTGATGAGCTTCTCTGAAACCAATGGCAACGAGGTGGGGGAGGATGGCCCACACCTCCTGTGTGAAGAGGGGACCAAGGACAGGGTCCCTCCAGCAGTGCCTGCATCCCGTGAAGAGGACAAGGCAGCATCCAGCTTCTGGGACCACTCCAGGCAGAGCAACATGTCAGGGGCCAGCTCACTGCCAGGCCTGTCGGTCCGTGCCAATGGAGAGGCACGTGCCATCGAAGGCGCTGGAGCGAACTCTGTCTGGGCTTCGGGGTCAGGGGCAGTGTCCACAGGGTCCCCGTGGCAAGGCCACTGGAACGACTGCACCATTGAGGCTGGAGAATTTGACCGAGCAGCCCAGGTCCTGGCCCGCCATTACGGTGGGACCAGCACCCCGCGGAGCCCGGAGAAGGGTGAGGGTCCCCGGCAGGCCCGGACACAGACCCCGTGGGAGAGCCCCAGCAGCAGCCTGTGGGGGTCACGAGTGACAAGGGAGAGCCGCTCCCCCGAGGCCAGCTGGAACCAAGGAGAGGAGGAGGAGGAGGAGACCAAGCTCTCCAGCCTGCAGGAAAGCCACAGCGGTGCCCGTGGGGGCCGCAGCAATTCCTTCGAGTATGCCGATGCGGAGGAGGAAGAGGACGATGAAGTCAAGGTGTGAACAGCCATCCCGCCCATCACAGGCCCCAGCAGAGACACTGGTGTCTCTGCCCTCCTCCCTGTGCCCCACCCGCTGGTGCTGGTGTCACCAGCAGGCCCAGTGGGTGACCTCCTTGCCAGGTGGGGGCACTGGGCAGGCTGGGGAGGGCAGGAGGAGAGCCCATCTCCTGGGGGGCTCCCTGGGGCTGGGCCAGTGGGCTCCACAGAGCCAGGCATAGCATCCCTCCTCCAGCCTCACAGCCCTTAGACATCAAAGGAACAGCCCCATATGCCAAAGGAACCCCAAATCCTTCCTACCCCATCCCATTCTCCCCAGCACCCCCTCTCTCAAGCCCCAACCTGGCTCCACCAGCATGTCTGGGGACATACTTCATCCTTCCACTGACGTCCCCTGCTCTCCTCTGCAATGGCACACGTGCCTCCCCAGAGGTACTTCCACTGATAGCTCTGGGAAGAAGGGGATGGGGTTTCCCCAGCTCCAGCTGGTGCAAGACCCTTCAGAACAGCACATCTATCAACAGGGGAAGGTCAGCTGGGGTCCCAAGGGACAGGCAAACCCCACAGAGCTAAGCTTTCTCTTTTCCCCTGCCTCCCTCAAAAAGCTGTGTGCTCGGTGTTCAGGAGGTGAGAGCATGCACAGAAATAATGAGGAAAGTTTCCACTTGCCTCCTGCTGCTGGGCATCACTTAGGACAGCTTCCTTCCTGACCCGCACACCCCTCAGCAATTCAGAGGGGAGAAACTTCTTGTCTGACTGGTGGCAAAGGCAGGTTGTCAGGTCACCAAATTCTGCAGTTCAGGCCCTAAAAATCCCTTCTTTCTCCCTGCCTCAGAACAAGGAGACTCCTCTGCAGCCACTTGGTTTGTGCCACCATCCTTGTGATGGTGGTGGCACAATTTGTGTCTCTATCCTGTCCCCTGCCCATTCCCCACACACACCCATCTTTGCAGCGCACCCTCCCCAAGGGTGGCATGGAGCATGGCTGCTGTCCCCTGCCGGGTGGCCCTGGATGACACAGCCACCCTGGAATGAGCTGTCCCCACGCTGGCCCACGTGCAGACTGGCCCTCACAGAAGCGCCTTTGTGCCACAGTGTGGAGCCAACATGCTCGGAGGCTGAGGTCACTGGGGGGACCCTCACAGGACCCCCCTTGTTCTCTGGGACAGCAGGGCATGTGCAGTGGGAGGAGATGCTGGGCCATGGCTGCAGGACTCTGCTCCCACGCATCTCTCCTGCCACCCAGCTGCTTTTGCCAGGAAGCTCTTCAGAGCAGGATAAAGAGCTTCAGGATGCACGTGCAAGTGCCACTTGCAGTCAGGCCACCAAGGCTAAGGACAAGCCCATGTGCCCCAGCCTCCCCAAGGGGCTGCCTCATGCCAGCCACCAGCAGCAAACCAGGGCAGGCACCAGCTTCAGGAAGTCCCCAGGTCTGGCCACTGGCAGCCAGCAGGATCAGCCTTATTCTCCCTTGCACCTTCCAGGGTGGGGACCTGGGCTCTCAGGATGAGCTCCCCTCTGCCCTCTGCTTCCCAGACCATAACACAAGACCAAAGATACATATCTGTGGAATTATCCTTTCTGCCTCCCCTCTGTATCCCATGCACTTATTATTGTCCTTATTAAAACAGTTTTGATACTAACCTCTGGTGCGTCCCCTTGGCTGCTGTGACCTTATTGTCTTCCTTGCTATGTCTGCTGGAGCCCCAGCCACCAATCCCTCCATCTTTGGCAGTGAGGAAGTGGAGAGGGAGGGCAAGGACACTGCCACCTTGCCTTGGACCAGGCTCTTTGTAAGATACTCTTCTACTCTGCTCTCCTCCCACCCAGCCTGAAGTGTCCCAATGTTTGCTGCCACACATCAGTCTCACTTTTGAGTTGGCAAGGTACTTTAGAATTAGAGCAGCAGCTTGTAATAATTGGGACTAATTGCCTGTAGTCCTGTGCTAGGAGGCCAAATCCCACTGCCTCATTTTTGATGAGTAGGATCTGCTATGGAAATGTCAGAGTAATGGCTAACCTGACTGGAATGTGCCAGCAGATAAGTGAGGTGAGGTAGAAGGGAAAGTTGGAGACAATCCCTTATCTATGGCAGGAATGTTGGCTGGGGGCACACCTGTGCTGTCATCCCCATGCCACCTTTTAATGATGCACTTTTGTAGCACCTAATGCCACATCAAATGCCACTTCATTTACATTTATGCCTTCCTTCCCAATTCACCATCCCCCGTTCCCAAAAGCTTGGCTGCAGGAAGTAATGGAGGTTTGTGAAAAGATTACACAACCGTTTCCCCAGCAATCATATGGTGTCCTCATCCTGGACCCCACCTACAGCCTGCTTTGGCCTACCTACCATCCCTTCAAGCCCACAGCCTGTTCTGACCTGGAAGTTACCTGGCATTATCCCACAATGGCTTCTTTCCTATTGGTGGGAGAACCTTGGGCTTGGTCAGTGGCTTGCACAGAGACAAAGAGCTCTCACAGAAGACCAAGCAGCTGGAACAGCCAGCCTTCCACTGGCTTGGGTTTTATTAGAGCCAGGAAGCAGTGCCCATCAGGTGAGCTTGAAGGAGATGATCTTCAGTCCCCCCACGATGCTTACGTAGCTGATGTTGCGGTAGCCATGCCGGTTGGGGAAGCACACCTCATGGCCGTCCGGCAGCTTCACACGGAACTTGTCCGACAGCATTTCAATGAAGAACTGGGGAAAAAAGAGAAAGAAGGGCAGGAATTGGGAGCAAAGAAGGTATTCAGAGGTCAGCTTTTAGGCAAAAGGCCTGACTACATAAGAGGGTCAGACCTGTCCGCTACAACCTTAAGCAACGTGCTGGGGGTTGAGGTGAGGATGATTCAGGAAATGAGCAGTTGATATCAAGGGTCTAAGCAGGAATACAGACTATGACTGGGGACAGGATCTTTCTCTGAGTAGCTGTTTCAGCTACTCAGACTGTAAACTCACAACAGCTAAACCCAGGTATGCCTTTACATGTATTCACAGAGCATATAGAAGATGTACAACCACTGTTCTGAATAAACCTGACCCCCCAATGCCCTCAGCAGCTCACCAGGACTCAGAAAAAGGAGCTTTGCTGATAAACATGCACTAGCAGACAGGACAAGAATGCATCACTGGTCATTCAAAACTAAAGACAATGTTCCCCAAAGCCGTTACCTCACTACCCCTTCCCCAAGAGCCGGTTCTGTCTAAAGAAACAAGCTTTCTCTCCACAGCTACAGGAACTGGACTACTCCTAAATGCAGCCCTGTTAGTGATTTGGGACATCAGATAAGGTGAGGCAGCAACTAGGACAGCATCCCTGGCAGGAGGAGAGAAAGGACAGATTGGCAGCATGGATCCAGGAGTAATTAGGACAGAAGAGTTCAGCGAGAGGCTTTTGGACATTGCTCCAAACTCGAGGTTGCCTTAAAGCCTGTGTTTACATAGAAAGGAGGGAGAGAAATAAGGTAAACAGCAGCAAACTGTTTCTCTGCTTCTTGGAGAATCCCTTTACTTTTATCCATACCCCAGGTACACTCCCCTGCTGGGCAGACAGAGGGGCCAGGAAGCACTTACAAAGTGTGAGACAGGCAGGACTCACTTAAAATTCCCAGAAATGTTGCAATTTTGAAAGAGGAGTGGAAACGGCAATCAGGACCAAAAACCCAGAAGAGGGGCCATGGTGAGGGCGCAGGAGGTATTGGGTGGGACCAGGAAAACTATGGTATGGGAATCTGCTAACCAGGGGCTTCCCCTCACACCCTATCAGCCCAAACACACCCCACATACCCCCTGAAACCATGCTGGCACCCTCACCTTGACAGTGCAGCCCCTGAAGAAAGGGAGGTGGCGGTCACGGAGTTCTGTCTGCCAGGAATCGGAGCACTTGGAGTTGCAGACGATGACAGACTCGTTGAAGCGGGGATTGAAGTGAAATGCCAGATCTCTTGAGCTGCAGCCAAGATTGATGCTGAAGCTGTAAAGGAGCATGAGGAAAATCATATGCATGGACAGGAGAGGGTCTTGGAAGACTTGAGATCCAACACACATCTCTCCACCCACTTCCTCCATCAGCGTTGCAGATGGCACAACAATGTATTGTTTTGTATCTGGCAACCTTGGAAAACCACCTTCCTCTATAGCCCACCTTCAATCCCAGCATGGCAAGGTGGTTTCTTTGTACTTACCCAACAGTATCAGCAGATATTTTGCCTTTCACCTTCAGGGTGTTCCCAGGCTTCATGTTCAGGTTTAAGATTTCAATATTTCCCTAAGGGAGAGAAAAATAGTCTGTGGGGCTCCTTCAGCCATTCCTCCTGACTTGGCACTGCCATTTAGAGGGTGCTGCTTGGGGGCATCCCAGCCAGGGGAACATAAATTGCTCTCAGCTGGTGCTCCTCTCATGACAAAACCCTCCATGCTGCAAGTCTTGCATGAACTTCTCATTCAGTGGGAGAAGAGTGGGCTGAGTGAAACCCGCAAGAGAGAAGAGACATCCGAGAGAGAGGAAGTGAAACTTAGCTTGTCCTCAGCAGAATGAAGAGAAAGCAGGGCAGCAGAGATACAAAGAGCAAAGGGGCACTGTCCAGGGTTTGGTGGAAAGCCAATGCTGCCCAAGAAATGCAAGTGGTGAGAGTTGCTATGACTCGCCAGTCTCACTCTGCCTTGCTGAGCTGAGGACCCTGGGTGACAGAGGACAGGAGCAGCAGCCCTTACAGGCATTTTCCTCAGAGGGCAGAGTAACCAGGCAGGGAGACACCAGCAGTTTAGCTCAGAAATGCTTTGCACATAGGACCTTACGGCTCTGAACTTCCCAAGGCTTACACATTAACATGACTCCTGCTTCTAAAAAGCTCCAACAGCTGCTATTAAGCCAGAAGACTATGATGCTAGGAAAAAAACTCCATATGTACACTTCTTACTAGGGATTCCAGCAAATAAAAGCAAATCCCAGCCTCCTTGGTGGGCTCCCAGGGGAAGGACTATGACACAGAGCCCTTAGGGGTGCTACTTTAGACATGAGATAGGACAAGCATCTTCCCAGCTGGCCAAGGAGGTATGACCACCATGTTCCCTTCTTTCCTGTGTGAAACAGCTCACCCAAAAGAACATCCCATCCTTTTGTGGCAAGGGGCAGCTCCAAAATCCATACCAGCAGACAAAAATGATCTCCACCATCCTTCCCCACAGTGCTCCAAGGAAGGGCTCAAAGGGGCTTGGAGGAGAGGACAAGCAACACATCCCCTCTAGATGGCTTGAGTTATGGAGTGTCCTTTGCAGGAGTGACAGAGTGGCATCCCAGCTCCTTCTCTTCTTGTGGCTCTAGATTCAGCTGTGTGGATTGCAGTACCCATATGTGGCAGCTCTCTGCAACCTCCCATCCAAGCCCCATCCAAACCAAACCTTTTAGCCTGAGGAACCACACACCAGGCCACATCAGGTTTAATAATCCCATCCTACCTAATCCTTAGATACAGGAATGTTGTCCTCATAGGAGAGTATCATCCCTGCTGTATTCTTCCCAGGTAAGAGCTCAGCAGACAGTACCCCTGCTTTCTAAGACTCCAAAAGTCAAGTGGAAGAGGGAGACAAAGGAGGGGGTCAAGGCTTGAGAGACCAGTCATCCCTCAGTCCCCCTCCCAAGCCCTACAGAGAGCAGCTGAGTGCTCCTGCTGCTGCACAGACAGCTGGTAGACAGCTTCTACCCTTTCCTAAAACATTCTGAAGAAAGGAGAAGTAAGTGCTGATAAGCACTCCTTCCCTGGAGTGTTTCCCACAAGGAAGGGGTCATAAACTCCAGCAGGCTTGGGAAATTTGTTTACTGTGGAGGACCTGAACCTGTTGGTGAAACCTCCAGGGCTGATCATGGAACCAGCAAGAACCAGTGCTGGGGATGATGTTTTCTGACATTGGGTGTCTTTCCCACCACACTGCTGTGTCCACACCTTCCTATCACACTGCTGCCCTGCAGCCATCCCAGGGATAATACAGAGCCCAGGGTCCCCTTCTCAAATATTGGAGCAAAACTGAATGGCTGGCTAAATTGCACAGTAACTCACTTTTTATCTGGGGAGTAAGGATTTGCTGTCTGAACAGTATCCTGGGTATTCCAGTCTTAGTAAATATACCCATGAGAAGAGGGTCTTCTACAGACTTAGGCAAAAGCAAATAAGCAGTAATTGCTTATTTTCATTAAGTATAAACATATTACATCAAGGCATATCTTTCCAACACAGTTTACAAATGTCATACTTGTTAACCTTCATTACTTGGTTAAATTTGTAAACAAAACTTAGAGATACATACACAAATTAAAACCACCAGAACATAGTACACAGAAAAGCTAAAATCTGCTGTGGATGCCTAAGGTTGGAATAGGAGAACCCTCAGCTCTAGGTGCAGTTTCTAATATGCAGGATTCCTATAACCTGCAAAAACCATAAAATGGAATTGCTCCGTTTCTGTCTAACCAGTGCACAGTGGGTTAACAGGAGGGCATTATCCATCTGACAATAATTTGATGGATTTTTCCAGAACTATCTTTCACTTCCCAAGGGTAACACAGAAAACTTTAGCTCTGTCACCACCCTATCAATACCTGCAGCAGTGGGTACTGTTAATGGAATCAAGTCTTGGTTTAGATTTTGGCTTTCCTGTGCTGGTTTAAATTCAACAGACTCACCAGGAGGGTTCAGGTGGCTTCCCAGAGGTTGCTCCAACCCATCCCATATGGCACCAATAATTCCCTATCTCCTGGGAGAATTCATACCAGGTAGATATATGAATTTGGTCTATATGTGGTTATGCCACTGCTGCAGTAATATTCATGGTGCCATCCATTTGTATGTGAATTGGGGCTTTTGAAACAAACATTTTCAGCCTATCTGGAAGGCCACAAAGGGGAGGAGTTAATAGGGCTGGACTGACAGGAGCTACCGTCAGGACTCGCCTTAATTGGTGTCTTTCATACATTGCTTAAATACACGCTGCCTTTTGCACAGAGGCTGCCAGATCTGAGAATACTGTTGTTTTAAACAGCAGCAGGTTTCCTGTGTCCTCTGGGTCTATGCCCCCGGCCCAGCAGGCAGCTCAGGCTGTCAATGAGTAGTTATGGTTACCTGGGGTAGTAGTTAAAAATACTCTATGTCACAAGAATCTTTCTGCCTCTTCCTCACTCAGCAAGATCTGATCTCTGCCCATAAGGGAAACTTGTATTCAGTTTCACATTCCCCTGAACATCTAGAATGTTCTTCCAGCAATCTATCTTACTCTGCAGGGAACAGTAGTGTGAGTTTCTCCACCCCCCTCATCCCACAGTTTCAGTTTCAATTAAAGGCTGAACTTTTTCTGCTTTTTTGGGGTAGCGTGAGAGTCTGCCTCTAAATCACCATCACTGTACCAAATGTCCCCATCCCATGTTTCAAGATCCTCACAATATACCACCCTGTGATATATTTAATAATATTATTAATTATATTATTAATAGTATTTTATTAATATATTTTAAATAATTTAAGTAATTTATTAATATAATTTAAATAATATATTGATTATATTATTAATAGTAATTTACCTAGATTTTTCTGCATCTGTTTTTCTCATATTTCAGCTGCAGAACTTTTTTTCTAATTGTTCATTTTTATTTAAAATAATATCTACTAGTTTTTACAATTTCTCCTGTGTCCCTTTCTCAAAAGACAATGCTGTTCTACGAACCTCATTTTCTGACTTCAAACTCATGAATTTTAGATCTGCAACTCTTTTCAGGTGGCAGGTTTGATTTCTGAGCACAAGATAAACAACTTCCCAAATCTGCACAAATAACTTACCTTCTTATCTTTGATGGGCAACTTACCTTTTCCTCATCCCAGTTTTCATTCGACCTGCAAACTAGTAATGTGGTCAACTATTGCCTGTACATTATCACAATTACTTTATACTCATTCCAACCCTAGAGGAGAAAGGCAACTACCAAACTTCTCCAGGAGAGAGTAAAACTTTAGCTTTTCACTGGTCACCCTTGATAACCATTTTTCCTCCGAAGGAAAAAGGAGGAGGTTTTCTCCTCCTCCCTCAGAAGGAGACAACCTGGGCACACCAGGCAGGAGAAAGATGTCACTCACAGAGGGACAGTAAAAGTAACACTAAAGGCTTGGTCAATCTCCCACCAGGTGAACAGTCAAAGTTCGGAATTATTGAACAGCACTTTGGGCCAGAAAATGGTGATGCCAATTAAAATGCTACCATTTGCTGTTGAAGTCATCTGCCCAAATTAAGGTGGAAAGGAGACTAAATGCCAGTTCAACAATGCCGACTTTATTTTACAAAATTAATCTTCTATGGAAAAGAGGGAGAGAGAAAGAGAGAGAGGGAGAAGAAGAGAGATAGGTCAAGTAGAAGGTGGTCACCTCCATGGATCTAGTGGCCTCCCGTTGGTCCTTCCGTGCCTTGGGCTTCTTGATGGTGGGGTCTCATCCAGTCCACTTTATTTCCTCAATAATTCTTATGCAGTCCCTTATTGGGTAAAAAGCAGAAGCAGAAGTGGCTTTCAGTTCCACATTAGCCCATGAGGCAAGAGTAGGCATGGTTCTGCCATCGTGCACACTCAGATCTTAATTCAATGGTCACCAGGGGATTCTGGGGGTTGTGTGAGACAAGTACCTCAAAAAATAAGTGTCCTATTTGTGACCCCACTTCTTGCACTTCCACAGTAGTTCACCTCTTATCCAAACACACCACAGTTGAACTTTGACCTGAACAGTTTTGGTTCAGTTGAACTTAACCAAAACTGAAACCTTGTTTCCTTCATGGGTTATGCACAGGCACTTGTGACTTTTTTTCTGCAACAAGTTCACCAGGAAGCCCTTGTTTAAGGCATATACTGCAAATTACTAACCCTTTCCCTACAGCTGCTTGAGAGGGAGAGCAGTGTGTGTCTCCTACTGTCCAGTTCTGGGCTCCTCAGGACAAGGGAGCCATGGAGCTCCTGAAGTGGGTCCATCACGAGATGATGGAGAGACTGCAATGTCTCTTATGAGGAAAGGCTGAAGGAGCTGGGCCTGTTCAGCCTTGAGAAGAGACAACTGAGAAGGGACTTCACCAATGTATATCAGCATCTGAGGGAGGGTGTCAGAGGGATGGAGCCAGACTCAGTGGTGCCAAGCAATAGGACAAGAGGCAACGGGCAGAAACTGATTCACAGGAAGTTCCACCTGAACATGAGGAAGAGCAGGTGATTGCACAGTGGAACAGACTGCCCAGAGAGGTTGTGGAGTCTCCCTCACTGGAGATATTCCAGGACCATCAGTATGCTATCCTGTGCAATGTGCTCTGGGACAATCCTGCTAGAGCAGGGAGGCTGGACAAGGAGGAGATAAGCCCCTATGGGCCCTTCCAACCTGTTCCATTCTGTGATTCTGTCTGAGGGATGAGTAAAACCCTGTGCAGAGAGGTGAGTGCAGAGCCACAAGTACTGGGGATGCGAGAATATGCAGAGAGACAAGCAGGAAAGAGGCATGAGCTGCTCAGAGAGGGGCCATGAGATTTTATCAAGATAACATTTACCCCCTCCTACAATGCTCAGCAGGGGCGTTCACCCCCCTTTTATTTGCCATTGGGAACAATAGTGGGAAGCCAGGCAGCAGCTCTGCCAGCACTGGCGACTTCCTTCGTCTGCAGAGCTGAGCCTCCACGTGGTCACACACCAGCCCTGTGCAGATGGTCTCCCTCATGCAGGGGTACGTGTTCCCCACATCCAGAAGGGGATGAGACTTTAGGGACCCCAGAAGAGACAAAATTCTCCACTGCAGTTGGAGAATTTTGGAGATGGCGATTGGGATGATGAAAGGAGGGTGACAGGGGCACGTTGATATTTCCCTGCTGACACTGCAAAGCAGAAAGCCTGGGGAAACAATGATAGCATGGGAACGTAAATCCCAAAGAAAGAGGAAATCCGGCTAAAGAGCATCTGCAAAAGAGGTGGAGGATCTGTGCAGTAAGGAAAACATAAACAATAGCTGTGGCAGCTGGCAGCCGCTGGTGCAAAGGATCCAGGAACCCTTCACTCCCCAGAGACATGATCCTATAATAGGATACCTGATTGGGAGCACCCCTCCAGGGACCCCTAGATTTTTACCCAGGCCAGAGGGCAGTTGGCTTGTACTGGTATGGGACACCCATGTTCACATCACTGTGACCAGAGGAGCATTTGCTGCATTCCCAGAGAGATAGCAAAGACCCAACAGGCAGTCACTTGGTGTGAGGGTGGGGGCCACCTGTGACCCAAGGGCAGGGTGAGCTTCCAGCAGGGAGCAGGCAGGCCTGCAATTTCACATGGAGAAAACAAAATAACCCCAAACATATTTTAAGAAGGGAAGAGCCTAATGCAAGCATGTTGGCTTTCAGCCAAGAGAATGGTAGGGCGGGTCCTCTTCAGACAGCTTTCACCGCATAAAATGCAGCAGCTCTATTGCAGAGGTCCCACATGGTAAATTTTGGGGTCAACAATCTTTCCCAGCCTTCCCGCTAGTGCTGAGTGATCTCAGGCCACCAGGAGCACCAATGGGATCTCAGGACCCTGGGTGCCTCCAGACAGCAGCACCTGCTGTACCATAGCCTAGAGCTGCCACCACAGTCACAGGGCACCACACAGCCTTTGAGAACAGACTGAATGCCACCCTCCCCAGCAGGCTGCCAAGATCCTCGGCAGCATCCTTGCTGGCAGCAGGATTTCTTTTGTTTTCTTATTTGGGCAGGAGATAAGCCAGCTAGGTGTGAAGCCCTGAGGAAAACCACAGACTTCCCCACTTCCCAGCCAAGGTAGACTCAGCAGTTAGAGGATTCTCAGGGCCTTCTGTGGCAGAGACAGCCCCCAGAATCCACACCAATCCAGCACGCCAAAATCGTCCCCACCCTCTCTCTCAACAGGATTCTGAGGAAGGGCTGCAAGGGGCTCAGAGGAGAGAGCAGCCAACTCTGTAGACAACATAAGATATGAACAGCTCCCTGCAGGACTGACACAGGTCACCACCAGAGATAATGCTCAATCCAGAAGGCATCAGGAAGATAGAGGAAGGCAAGGCAGCCATACTGGGTGCATGGATGCATGTGCCACTGTCCCCACATCAACCCAAGCTCTGCAAGAAGAGGGCAGAGATCCCTTTAGCACCCTCATGAAAGGCTTGGTGCTAACTAGGCACCAAAGAAGTGGCACTGGAGAATGGCACTGCAGCATGGATGAGGTACCTGTCCCACATTGCACTCCAGGCACCGAGGGAGCCTGTGCTTTGGACCAGACATCAGTGTCTGCTCAAGGCAAAGGGAGCTGGAGAGATCAACCATGCATTCTTTCTCGGAGTAGCAGCTGCTTACTCTACTATTATTTCCTACTGCTTCATATAATTTGTACTCCACAGCAAGCTATTGTCCCTTTCCACTGGCTATTTATTTCCTTGAATAGCCTCGGGGGAAAGATTTCAGTGCGAGAGTAAAGAAAAAAGAAAAACTCCACACAATAAATCTCAAGCAGTGACCTGATTTAAACTGTGTTCTCTGACCTCATCTGGGCCCTGGTTGTGGTTCCTCATGGCAGTTGTGATTAAGGTCTGTTTCTGCTTTGATTTCCTCTCTTCATTAAGCCTAGGGGGGAATGACCCCTGCCTTAGAGGGCTGTGGGGTGGATTTTCAGAGGCCAGGACTCAGGACACAACTGAGCAGAAGCTTCCACCACCTCCTAACGGAGATGCTCAGCCCTCCACCTGCCAGTACAGAAATTCCTGAATAGGACTAGCTTCTCCTTTAGTCAAGAGGTGTTGGTTGGTCTCTCAGCAGAGAGTGCTGCAACCTACACCCAGCTGATCCCTGAGCTCTGAAAGTCAGCCAGCTTCCTAACAGAGGAGGACCGAAAGAACAGAGTGTACTTACCTCAGCCAAACACTGAGGTAAGCAAGAAACTGGGTAAGCAGGTCTGTAGATCTGAAGAGTGTTTACAGGAGGCAATTGTCCAGGAGATGCAGGAGAAGCCAAAGCAAGGATAAGCACAAGAAAAAAGTACCCAGGAGCACCAAGCTCCTGCCTAAGATGTTACCCAGAGTGGGATGGCTCCTCTGGAGAAAGCACTGGTCTCCACATTCAGATCAGGTAAAATGGGAAGGAACAAAGGATTAATCTCCTGTTCCTCCTTCTGCCTCAGCTTCCTCACAGTGCATCATCCAGAGCACCAGTGGAAACTACAGAATTAGCATCCATGATCTAAACCAGAGGGCAGGAGATCAGCATCCAGTAGGCTCTCCATGAACATCACCCCTCTTCAGCTGTAGGGTGCAATTTCTCTTCCTTAGGAAGTGGTGGAAAGAAGGAAGGACAAAGATAGCTGAAGAACTAAAATGTGGGGGAAAGCCCAAACCTTTCTTCAGGGCTAGGGGCAGCAGTGAGAAAGGGAATCTGCATCAAGCAGGGGAGCAGATGAAGAGCACAGGGAACAAGTACAGCCTCAGTCTCCATCTCTCTCCCTCCTCTGTCTGAAGGGTGGTGGTGCCACGGTGGCTGGCATCTCCCATCTCCATGGGAGAGCTCAAACGTGCTCTGATAGATGCTTTCCAAGTTATGTCCTTGAACCTTTGCAGGGAATGTCTGTCTCAGGCAGCTCTGAAGTCTGTATAAACATTTCTGTGTGGTCTGAGCTGTGCACAGGGAAGGGGAGAAAGGTGGCTCATTTGCAAGGAAGTTGGTCGATAAAGGGTCATTTTTATCAACCCAAGCTGCCAGATGAGTCATGTCTTCTGTCCTCAGCTTGGCTGAGGGGCAGGGGAATGAACACAAGTGGCAGAGGGTGGAGAAGGGAGGTCAGAGCACTGATGGCATGCCACCCAGTTCCATTTCCAGACTTCATTTCTCCAATTCTTTCACTCATAGGTGCATGCCAGGAAATGCGGGTTGCGGGAAAGGCTTTCAAAAACACATCTGGAGATAATAATTCCCTTGTGTTGAAAGCTTCCCTGCTGGAAAATAGAAGATGTATAGAAAGCTCACAACTTCTCTCTTTCTGGGACTTTTGGGATCACACAGCTTTACCCACAATCTCTAGATGAGATATTATTAACTTAATGGGAAAAGGATCCTCCAAAGAGCACTCCACAAAGGATCAGCTTCATGAGGTCTTGTGGTCCACTTGCATCTTCCACCAAAAGACTATCATCTGCAACTGTTTTATCTTACCATTGAGCAAAGAAGATGGCAGCTCCCTCACAAGAGGAAACTGAGGCACAGACACCCAAGTTCACATCCAAAATCAACTCCTCCTCTTTGGATTCTCATCCTAAAGTTTTCACAGCCACAAAATCAAATCAAATCATTTTGCAAACCTGTGCAAAAAGCTAAAAGGAAGTTGTGCTCTCCTATTTGATAAAGCTGCAGTATCAAAGATGCTGTTCTCTCATCACACCATCTACTATCAACAGGAGGTACTGAGGCATTCAGTGTCTCTGGAAAAAATCAGCCCTTGGGTGGGTCCAATT